GTGGGTCCACACGTTCCGCTTTGCGGATGGTTCCCTCATCGCCTTGAAGTGTCAACGTGGCCGCCGAGCCCTGGGGGAGCTCGAGAGAATTCTCGAAGGCCAGGGCGCCGGCTGGGCCTGCTGCTACGGGTCGACCCGGTGCAAAACTTCCGACATTGCAACGGCTTGGAATTCCGAGACCCATGCCACGAGCCCTCGGCAGTCGCTCTTCGCAAGCATCATCCGGGCGGACGTGTTGAATAAGTGCCCGCACTTAGCTCCCTGATCCGCTACAGGTTTTCCAGGCTCCCTCTCGGCTTCTGCTGTGTGCGTCGATGGTCAAGTGTGCCGCCTTATCTAGTACAAACGCACTGAGCCACTTGCGATCAGTCTTGCTTGTCGTGTCTTTCGTCGATTTATCAAATCTATACCGCCCTACGTTATCTGATAGGGACAGGGTCCCCAGTGTTCGCGTCTCATGCATCATCTCACTCCGCATCAAAACTCTATCCGAAAAGGCCGAAGACGCTGGCGCCTCGCCTCAAAAATTTGAGATCATCTGCGCCGGCTATGAATTTCAGAGCGACTGACTGTGGAAGGAACATGCTTCAGCCATGGCGCCACTTGGGAGCGTCATCATTTTCATTAGCTCGGTGTGTGACGAGATTCGAGAGACTTCCTTCATTTCCCCCTCCCCACCTACTTCCCACCTCTCTTAGGCGTTCCTATGCTCTATCCATAAACTACCTCGCCTTGTTTGTTTGTCCGATGAAAAGTCTTCGACCCACATTCGCAGTAGACGCCTGAAGAGAAACGAGGAAAGGAAAGTGCAGCCATGAGAGCAGACCTTCCCTCCATTGGGTGACATGTTATGAGCAGGATACTTCTTTAGATTTTTCACCGCGCCCCTACCGCCCAGCCAAAGCATGAGGAACATTCCCGCCGGACGTGCTATCGGACATCTTCCCTGCGGCACACTGCCCAGCAGCTTCTCCAAACGGTGAGGCCCCCCCTACTCCATGCCTCGGGACTTGGGCACAACGTGGCACGAGGTCGCACGCCGCTCCATGTATATGCGCCCAGCATTTCGCGCGGGAAATCTCTGCGGCCAAGCCGCTTCCGCAATGGCATGGACTGCAAACGGCAATAAATCACGCAGCTGCGCAGCCCCTCGAAGCTCCTTACCGAGGCAACCACTGGAGACCGAGCATGACGAGGCGCTCTTGACTGCTGGCCGGATAAAAGGACACGACCCATGCGAGCTGCCAGTAGTTCCCGACAAAGCGGCAGCAAGTGGCGCAGCTCTAGTAGCAAGTGGCGCAGCTCTGCGGACTTCGTCGCGCTCCGCGACACATTTGGCGACTGACCAAACGAGCCGCATGGGCGCCAGATAACCTCGCGGGCTGTGACATGGACAGCGAAGAGGCAATATGCCCCTGGAGCACAACATCGGCGCCGCCGTCCCAAGTGACGCAATCAATGCAAGCGGCCCACGCTCGTGCAAGCTCGGACGGGGACACGGGTACCCAACCCCCACCGACCCACCCACGCGCCCAATAGCGCCGCGCCGTCGTCCGCCTTGCCCTTGCTTCGCTAGCAACGCGCCCAACGCGTCCCCCGGTGCAGCTAATGCCCACAGTCAGCCGAGCACCCTGCGCGCTTCGGTGAAAATAAAACGCGGGGGCGCTTCCTGGTACCCAGCCACCAAACGACCGCCCAGCGCTCCAGATTCCGCCGGAACATGCCTCCCCTTGCTTAGGTAATTACACTCCCCAAGATTCGGAGCATCCCCATCGCTCCTCTTTTCCTTTCTTCTAATGCCTTACTTGAGCGACATGGATGAGACGACCCGGCCTCCATTTTAAGCCGTTGCAGCTTGATTCTTCACGTAGGCAAATACCTAGCCAGAACATTCCACATCATTCACCTACTCCACCTATTACCTTGCTTGTCATTCACCACCAAACATATAATTCACATAACTACGGCAACTATTTAAGAAACGTCACCCATATCACGTCACTCGATTCCCATAGATTTCCAAACTGCAAAAAACATGGCCAATGTTTCCGAACTACGACGCCAACTGGAACAAATCCAACGGTACCCATTACTTTGCATCTTACAACTTTTCCAACTCACCTGCCGCGTTGTCCCCTCTGGCGGCCGCAGGCCGCCAGGGACGATGGGGCAAAAGCTTCGCCGCGAGCACCCAACAGCAACCCCCCTGGCGCATCGTCCCTTCTGGCGGCCGCAGGCCGCCAGGGACGATGGGGCAAAAGCTTGGCCGCGAGCACCCAACAGCAACCCCCCTGGCGCATCGTCCCCTCTGGCGGCC